AAAATTTTCTTTTAATAAATTTTTTAGATCCAGTTACATTTTTAAAAAAAAATGTAAAAAAATATTATAAAAATTCATTAAATAAAAAAAATACAAAAATTCACTACATTGGTGAAAAGTCCATTTTAAAAAGGGTATAAGATATTAGGTCCTATGAGTATTTTTCTTTAGTGAGAAGTACACTCTTTAGCTTATTTTAGAAAGTATGTTAAAAGTTAGTTTTTTGACTTTTTTGGGTCACATTACCTTTCTAATTTTTTGTATGTTTAAAAAAGTCAAAAAAATTGACTTTTAACTTACTTCTCAAAATATGCGTGAAATATTGTGGTAAGAAGTAGATTTATTATTTTGAAGGACATTTTGTTTTCAGTTTTACCCTTTAACCTATCTATTGAAAGTTCAATTTTTTTGAACTATCTGTTAAATTTTTTTTATCTTTTCATCTTTTATGAACCTATCTATTGAAATATTTTTTATTTCTTCAATTTTTTTGAACTTATCTGTTCAATTTTTTTAATCTATCTGTTTAAATTCATCAAGTCTATTCACTAGGCCTATTGTTTCTCTATCTGTTGAAATTTTACCAAATAAATTATCTATTGAATACCTCTGGCCTACTCAGATCAATTCCCTTATTTGTTGAATTTTTTTCTTTCTATCTATATAAATTGATTTCACACACACACACATGGATTTTTCTTACTTGTTTGATTTTTTACTTTTATCTATTATATATATATAGAGGAGAGAGAAATGATCTATTTTGTGTATTAAAATTTTTATCAATTGAGTTTCCAAATAAGTTTGCGCACGCATCGCATGTGCCCGGCCGCTAGTATGTATATATATAATATATATATACACATATATTATCTGTTTTACGTTTGTTCACCATTCTTCAAAACACAAGCATAAAGCAAAATCAAAACCAGTCAAAACTCTTGGAGAAAAGATCTAGAACGAACATGAAAACAACATAAATGAAAGTATTATTTTTCACAAATATTTTACTTTTTAAATATATTTAAGTTAGATACATCAAAAAAAAAAAATTTGAATAAAATTTGAATTTTTTTTAAGAAGTAATAAAGTACGAAAAACAAAAAGTTGAACTATTTTGAAAACTCAAAAACAAGCAAAGTAAACGTTTTTTAGTTTTGTAGAATTTGTAAAATTTAAATTTATAGAATGATCTCATTTATAAAAATTCTTGAAGTCACCACCGGATTAAGCATCCCATAAATTGCTTCCACAAATAAGCAAAGAATTACATATTTGTACTGTTGTTGGCGTAGAGAGAGAAAACATACTTTTCTTGAAATAAGGTTTAAGAATTATTTATTCTATATAAATTGAGACATGCATAAGCACAGATGGTATAGCACAATGAAATTAGTCCTTATTACAAATAAGTGAGCTATTAAATAATAGTAAACAGATTTGTTTCTTTTAGAAAGCCTCTGTTGAAGAAGGAAGCTAAGGAAAGGAGATGTCTTCCTGAAGTCAACATATTGAATTATATCATGTAAGTTTTCCCCTAATTCTTGTTGAATTTTTTATGCCAATTTCTCTAAATGTTTAAGTTGTTAAAAAGAAGAGTAATTTTATTATTTATATTATATTCTCAATCCACCCTCATATGGTGGAATTTTTTTTCTTTTTTTTCATAATAAGCAAACGCGTGAAAACATTTTAATTATCAGATGGTGCGGTTCAAATACGAAACCTATATCAAGCCTATCCAAGGCTTGAATGTCCAACTCTGCTAAAGTAGATCTAATGAGATTATCAAGCCTATCCAAATTGAGTTGAGGTGATGGTTTTAAAGTATCGGGAATAGATTTCGAAGGAAAGGAAGAATTTTGCAGCGTTGGATTAGATTATCAAGGCAAGAATTCGCATGATAAGTATTGTAAGCAATGGTGCTACTTTGATTTCTTGATAAAGGAATTTCAGAGCCATGGTGGTCTTTGGTTTTCTTTGAGGATAAAATTTTACTTGGATCCACTAATAAAATTAATAGTAAATTACACTGACACTCTCTAAGGTTTTTGTTTAGTATAGATTTTTTCCTTACGTTTGATAAATTATATTTTCCTTTCTAGAGTTTGTAATCTCATTACAAATTCACCCCTAAATAGTTGATGTTATGTTTTAAAATTTTTTAAAAGACCATTTTGTCCTTTTTCTTACTATTTCTTCTCCCTATCATCATGACTACATTCTACAACTTTTATCATTAAATTTTATTTGAACATATTCTTATTGAGTGATGACATATAAACATAAATTTTATATAGAGTGTCAAACACAATGACATAACTTAATAGTGACCTTTCACTTTAAAACAAAACATCCATAAACATGATTTCTATTTACAACAATATTACTATCACAATATTTTTATGATATTTTTTGTATAAATTTTTATATATGAATATAATTTTTTATTTTTATTTCCACTATCATTTTTCTTTCTTGTCTATTCACTGACATTTATTACAGTATTACCAAATATCGCCATTTACATTTATTACAGTATTATTGAATTTTTGTATTTATATATATATATATATATTGTATTTGGTGAATTTTAAAAAAAAAAATCACAAAATATTATACTTCTTAAGTATAGCTAGATTAACTGTATTTAAAAAATAAAAATAAAAAAATTGCTTAAAATATTAAAAAAATTCAGTAAAAATAAAAAATAAAATAAAATAAAAACTTGAAAAATAAAGAAATTCAATATTTTGTGTAAGTTAAAGCAAAGAAGATAATTGTTGTTTCTTTTGAAATGTCATGAACAAAATGTCAGTGTTATTTTTTTTTTTATATGTAGAAAGGTTAAGAGGTAATATGTCATTTTAATCTAACAAGAAAAATAAGTATAATTTTTCAAACGTGAGAAGACAATCTACATTAAATAGTAACCTCAAGGATACCAAGACAATCTACATTAAATAGTAACCTCAAGGATACCAGTGTAATTTACCCTATAATCAATAACATCACAAGAGATATAATGCATAAATAACTTGAATGCACTAATGTACATACCCTAGGGGTGTATAGAGTGCCTTGTCATCTCCTGATAGTTGTTTTCATGTCAATCACGTCCCTTTAGGATCAACACACTCTCTAAGGCTCATTTCTCCTAATTATATTAGAATTGACCTCTCAAAATAGTCGTAAATATACCCAACTTAGGAGTCATTCGTTTCCTAGCACTCATTTCGTTCACCCAATATGTCAACCTAGGTATGAATTGTTTTCATACCTCAACTCTGGCACATGACACTCCGACACAAGATGGTGCTACGTGGACATGTCAAAAATTATATCCCCACAAAATCTATGAGTTTGTTAAACGAAAAATGAATAGAAAAGTGGGGAAATTTTTATTTTTTTTGGTAGGTAGGGCTAGCTCAAGGGGGCAGCAAGTGAAGCACTTGTTTGAGGCATCGGTATAACAGAAGTCCTCATTTTGAATTGAAATCTCATAGGTAAAATAAAAAATAAAAAAAGAATAAAGAATGTCGGTAGCTTTCCTAAACTAAAATAAGATTATCAAATTTTCTGTCAACTTCATACATTGGCTCTTCACCACACTACAAGAAAAATCATTTTTGGCGACTAAATTTTTAGTCACCAAAAGTCCGCTTTTAGTCGCTGAAAGTCGAGTTTTTACTTTCAGCGACTAATTTTTTTAGTCGCCCCTTTTGTCGCGCATTCGTGGTCGCGAGAGGTATCGGCGACTAAACTTTTTTTAGTCTGCAAAAAAGAGATCTTTAGCGACTAATATTTTAGTCGCCAATAGTCCATGAATCGCCGACTAAACTATTTTGTCGCCCAAAATAACACTTTTGGCGACTAAAAGCTTAGTCGCCAAATGTTCTTCTGTAAAAAAATAAAAAAAAAAACAAATTCTTTGGTTTTTCTGAGATTCGAACCGTGAACCATTCCAACTACCAACACCTTTACCAACATACTTCCTCCACAATATATATTATTTATATACTATTTTGACCGGTATTCATACAAAACCATATATGTAAATATAATTATTTTTATTGAATATAATTTATGTAAAAAATAAATTATTTATTAAAAAAAATGTAGGCCACTTTTGGCGACTAAATCAATTATTTAGTCGCCAATTCTATGATTTTTGGGCTACTAATTAATTTGTTGTCGCTAAAAAAATATGTTTAAATTAAAAATAGCACTTTTGGCGACTAAATCTGTTTTTAGTCGCCAAAAACGTCCCGTTTTGGCTACTAAATTGAAATTTAGTCGCCAATTCACTGTTTTTAGCTACTAATTTGTTTTTTGTAGCCAAAAACCTTCATTTTCAGCGACTAATCTTTTTTTAGTCGGTAAAACTGCTACATTCGGCGACCAACAAACAGTTTAGTCGCTAAAACCCTGGTATTCGGCGACTAATTCATTTTAATCGGCAAAAGGCTTCATTTTTGGCGACTACATCCAGTTTAGTCGCCATTTGGTCAACTTTTAGCGACGAAATTCTGAATTTTAGTCGCCATTTGTGCTTTTTCTTGTAGTGCCAAAGACCACATTCACGTGTAACTAGTAAAAGTCCATCTCCCACTCTCTCACACTCATAAATTAAGAAAATAGAATTTGGTTAAAATCATGTATTCTTATGAATAATTTCATTCAGTAGATATTAATTTCACTAAATTTAATTTGTAGGGACGTAGGGAAAATTTTTAATTTTTTCATACACTTGACATTTTTAAGTAAAATTAAAATTTATTGACAGGACATATGAACACGACATGATAATATGAAATAATAATAGATTGGATTAGAGCATCTCCAATCTTTCATCAAATCTACCAAATCTTACATCAAATTTAAATTTGATAAAAAATTTAGTAAAAAAAAGTCCAATATCCTTTCATCACATTTGTATTCTTTCATCTCTAGTAAAAGTCTATTTCAATATGTTCTTAGTCTAGAAAGAAAAAGACAAAACAAAAACAGGCTGACGTTAATTTTTTGCTTTAGGCCCCATTTGTGGTTGAGCCGACCTATTTGTAGGTTGAAGCTTTTCTCAATTTCTTCCTTCATCGACCACCAATTAATGCATGCATAAGGGAAACATTGAGCTGATTGTGTATTCCTTTGTCTTTCTAATAATTGTCACTAGGAAAAGAACGAGAAGATAGAAAATTAGACACAGCTGGTTGTGGACTTGAAATGGAAAACTCAAGTTCAAATCATGAGATCAAAGATAACTACGGCGAATTGGAAAATTCCATTAGACAATTGTTAACATGCTTGCCACCATCGTCGCCTCTTGCTGAGAATTGTATCTGTCGAGTTCCCAGAAAACTTCGCCAATTAAACGAAGCGGCCTACACACCTCAGATGGTTTCTATCGGACCTCTTCATCATGGTGAAAAACACTTGAAAGGCATGGAAGAGCAAAAGATGAGGTGTTTACAGTCATTTCTTGCTTGTGAAACAATTAATTTGGAGGATTGTGTTAAAATGATAAAGAATTGGGAAAGAACAATCCGGAATTGTTATGCAGAAAGCATTAAGCTTAGCAGTGATGAATTTGTCGAAATGATTCTACTCGATAGCAGTTTCATCATTGTGGCCATGGTGGAGTCCGACTTGGAATACTTTCTGGGATCAGACTTGCTATTACTTGAAAATCAGCTTCCCTTCTTTGTTCTTGAGGGACTTTTTAACATAGCCTTCAACTCTCAACTTTCATTTCTAGAACTTTCAGTAGCGCAATTCAAAAATTTCTTTATCACTAATCACAAACCTGATTTAAAGCGAATCACAAGAAGATCGGGTGTACGACATTTTAATGATTTATTGAGGATATATCATGCACCATTATCTCAAAGGCCAGTGCCAACAAACAAATATAAGTACCTACGAATTCAAAATGCAGCAGCACTTCACAAGGCCGGAGTGAAGTTTGAGGTTGGCTCCTCATCCGAATGTTTGCTCGACATACAATTTAATAAAGGAGTGTTGAAAATCCCACACTTGTGCATAACAGACAATACAGAACAATTGCTTAGAAACATCATTGCTTTGGAGTGGTATCTTCATGGACAGAACAGCTACATAATTGATTACGTTGGTTTCATGGAGAACCTTATTGACACCCCTGAAGATGTAAAAATCCTTGAAAAGAATGGAATCTTGGAGCACTGGCTTGGTGACAAATCTGCTGTTTCGAACCTATTTAACAATCTTACAACACATGTTCCTATGAAGAGTGACAATTACTACTTTTATGGCATTTCTGAACATTTGAATTCGTATTGCAAGGTTCCTTGGCACAATTGGAAAGCAACACTAAAACGAGATTATTTTAGTAGCCCGTGGAGAGTTGCTTCAACAGTTGCTGCAATTGTATTACTTATGCTTACTTTCATACAGGCCATTTGCTCTATCATCTCCCTTTGAATTTAAGACACTTATGTTTGTCTACGTATGTATTTGAATTCTACTACTGTGTTCTATTATTGTTTGTTTTGACATTCTATTGTTTTCAATTGTATGTTCAAGTTGTTTTTCTATGGTTGTATTAATAGAAATAATAGAATTACTGCAAAACGAATTGAGGATTCAATTCTATTGGATATGGGATGTTATACTATATCGTTATGGATATAATGCTACCTTTCTAGTTTCTAAGCTCTGCCAAATTCTTAAAACTAGTTGTCAACTTTACTTTCAAATTGTAACACTAATATTCTTATGATATTGAATCCTCGTATTGCTTTCAACTTTTTCAAGAAAAATTTCATTGACTTTTTTTTTTTTCAAAAAAATCTTTTGCTACTCATTTTGTTCCATGCTCAAATGTGGTCTAACCAACCATTTTGACGAAATTGTTTTTTTAATCATCAAAAAGAAAATTTACTGTCGAAACAAGAAAAAGTAGAGATTAATGGCGCATCAATAAACTATTAAAGGAAATTGGATCATGGCCAGATAAAATGCATCCGAATCAGATTGGCACCTATAGCAATTCTGGTTTAGACCCAACCCATTTTGTATTCTGGACTTGGGTTTTATGGTTTCGTATTGTTGTTCATGTCTTACTTCCCTTATATTTCCTTGAGTTTAGCTATTGGGTTGTATTGGTAGCGTTTGGAACAGGTTAGTAACTTGGTTTTCAAATTTTTGTTGCCCAGAATTTTACTCCTCCGCTCGAGTGTCACTTCTCGCGCTCGAGCGAGTTTTGTGAATTCTCAGTACTTTTGTAGGTCTGCAAAATTACTGGAAGAGTGTATTCTACCCACAAGCGGTGCTTTCTGCACTCTAGCGATCTCAGCTCGAGTGGCCTTTCTTATGCTCAAGCGGCCTTTCTTGCTCTTGAGCATTAGTCTACTGTCTGCAAAACTATTAGGAGTGTGTAATCTACACTCAAGCGTCACTTCTTGCGCTTAAGCAGAACAACTTATTGTGTCTGGATACTTGAGTGTCACTTCTTGCGCTCGAGTTGACTGTGCATATTTCAGTCCGTAAAAGTGACATTTTACATCACTTCTTCATTTTCTTCTCTCTCTAAACATCTTTAAAACCCTAGATCTAGAGTTTCTCTCTCTAAAACTCCCCCTCTCTCTACATTTTCACCTAGATTTGGTTGTTTCTCTACCCGTGTGCCTTTGTTAAAAATGTAGAGCATCTCAAGGGTTACGTTTTCATCCAAATAGAGTTGGGTTTTGGCTTCATCCGAGTTTCTTCCTTACTTTGCTCGTCTTCTAGCTCTGAGATTGGGATTTTCTACGCTCTTCTGTGGCTTTTAACTTAGCTATTTGTTTTTGATAAACAATATTGTGATTTTGGAAGATTTTGAACAAACCTAGGGTTTGGGTTAAAATAAAAAAAAGGGGTTTACAAATAGATGTATTGAAAATGGTTATGGGAATAAATATGAGGCTGTGTTGTAATAAAATTATTGATTTTGATACTTGGGTTGGATTTTGGAAGGAAAAGAGAGTTTGCCTTAAAATGTCTCAAACATTTATTTTGTATAAATAAATAAATTTGGTATTGCAAATGCGAAATTGAATGGATATTTATATAAATGGTAGAGTTGGATATGTATTACCACTCACCTATGGAATTTGGATAATTTATTTGTTTTGGAGATTGTATATCTATTTAGAAATATCTGTTTTGGACTATCGGTGAAGGATAGCTATGATTGTTGTAGAAATTGCATGAGAATTAGGTGAATTGAAACTAATTTCTCATCCATTTGCATTGAGTGTTATCACATCTTTCATACATTGTAAATGTATGATATTTGGGAAAAGAAATGAGATATACTCCATTGAATTAAGTTAGCCGGAGTGTCCAGGGTGAAAGTCCCAAAAACCACAAGTATACATAGGTGCCAATTTCCGCAAACAAAATATCCGTAAAATGGCAAATAGAAGTGTTTGTATGATGGCTGTATTGGTTAGCAGGGCCGGCCCTGAGTTTCCGGGACCTAAGGCAAACTAATTTTTCGGGACCTTTTTAGATATTTATTAAAAATAAAAATAAAAATCACTTTGTTTGGTTTAGAGTTTTCAAAAATAATTGTCTAAGTTTACAATTTGTATTTTTTTTTATATTTTTGTATTTGGTAACATTTTTTCAAAAAAATATAAATATTATAGTTTTTAAGCGTATCTAAATTAGATATATCTACAAAATAAATAAATAAAAATTGTATAAAATAATTTTTTAAAAAAATACTAAAAAACACATAATTGGGCCATAAAGAGAAAAAAAAATAGGCCACTTAAAATTAGGCTAACGACTAATACATATACATATATTTTATATTTTATTTTTTAAATTGGACTAACAACTAAAACTTATAAATATTTTTCAATTAAGCCTTTTATCAATTGGGCCAAATAGATTTGTTGAGGCCTCCTTTAAAATGGTCTAAATTAATTAAACAGAATTGGACCATCTTAAAATTTTAATATAATACAAGACTAAATTTTGGGGCCCTTTTTTGGGCCTAATTTTTGGGGCCCTAGGCACAGGCCTTACCAGCCTTAGCCCAGGGCCGGCCCTGTTGGTTAGAGACCCACTGAGTTGTATCCTCAGTTTAGTTGTCTAATTAAAATGGAAATAACTCATGAATGGAGATAAAATGGATCGAGATATAAGTTCAACATTGTATGATTTTGCAAAAGAGTTATAAATGATTTTATCACAGACATTGTATGTGCATGTCACACTTATATCTTTGTTAAAATTCATATATTGTGTTAGATTATTTCTACTGGGTTTTGGCTCATCTTATTTCGAAAAATCATTTTCAGGTGCTGGTGATATGCCTCCACCAAGAATTTAGCTTGGGAGGATCGTGGAGTTGAAGGCTTAGTTTGGTTCTTTTTATTTTTTCGTATTTAACGTTTGTACATGCCTATGTCTTTCTTTGTATTGAGCTTACGACTCACTTTTGATGTACCCAAACCTTGACTTGGAAAGATGTAAGCTTTTAGGACATATAATTACTTGCTTAGATTTTATTACATTGTTAATGTTTGGTAACACATGCTATAGATTTAGAGTGTTCTATTTATGAATGTATATCGCATGTGTCACCCTTTTGTACAATCGACTCTCGTGTAATAGAAGGACATTATACTATGATTCATAATATTATTTACTTATCATTTTAGATGGAATATTGCATTTATTTCGCGGGCATTACAGCACCCACAATCCATTAAAATCATATGCAGTCCCAAAGCAAGCACAAAGTTGGTTACATTGTTATGGTTAAATTATTTAAATTTTAAAATAAATTTTTAACTAGTAAACTAGGTTTAATTGGTCAATGATTTGTACGATCTTCTCCAATTGGACCACATAAACTAAAGCCTAGTTTAATGGTTTATTCAATTTGTTGAGCAATTCATGTATATCATCTACACATAAAATTAGATTGATCCAATAACCGTAACTTATTTAATTTATCGTGTTTGTCACCAAAAAAATAAACAACAATTGCATATTTAAAAATAAACATTCCTTTTTTTTTGTGATAAACATGATAAATTGAATAGGCTACGATTATCAGATTAACCTAATTTTTTTGTGAATGATATAAACGAAATATCTTATAAAATAAATAATTTGAATTATCAAAATGAGTCTCATGAATTCTTAATATGGACAGGAGGCAATTTACATTCCAAAGTTAAATTAACCCAATCAATAAAACCTCTAAAAATTTTGGGGGCTTCACAAGTGTAGGGTTAAGACGGTTTGACTAACTTGTCCAATGTATGGATTATCCTTGCATAAATTCTAGGGTGTGTGCTTTATCACATAAAAAATGATGCATCTCAGGTCAACTTGTACACCTGTGAGCACCTTGCCTAGCGGTATCTAGAATATGGACTAAAAATTCTAAAAATAATAACAAAAAAAGACTTAAAAATAAAAATAAGAAAATCTTTAAAGTTATATTTAAGTTTGAAAACCACACCTTAATCTTTGATAATGCTCAATCTTAAAAAAAAAAATTGTGATAATGCAAATGGCCCAAAAACTAGCAACTATCCAAGCAGCTTGGGTTGTTTACCCCAGGTTACATTTATTTTTATTTTTTGGACAGCAAAACGAACATTTTATTAATGAATATCAAAATATATAGAAAATGTAAATAAACATCAATAAAGAGAGGTAAGTATACAAAATATTTATTTTTATTTTTTGGACAGCAAAACAAACGTTTTATTAATGAATATCAAAATATATAGAAAATGTAATAAACATCAATAAAGAGAGGTAAGTATACAAAATATTAATCTAAAGCTAAATAATCTCAATTAGATTGATACCGATAAACAAACTCAATTATCTGCTAACACCTCAACCAAGGGTTGATGAGAGACTAGCCAATTTTTTTTTTTTTAAAAAAAAAAGGCCAGCAGCTCAAAGCAGCCACTAAACCCCAAGTTACATGATAGCATGTGCGGTTGAAGAGGTCAGATATAGTACTTTTTTTTCTCCTGCCATCATTTGATTTTGATTCGAATGTCACGTAATATAAAAATAATTAATTGTTAAATTGTAACTTTTTAGATCAGGTGTTGAATAATGATTGAAAATTTTGTGACATTTAAATATAGTATTGGATAATAGCTAGATGAAGCAAGTATTAAAGAGGATCTGAATTGAATTGAAGAGTGATACTTGACTAACATAATATCTAGGGGCGGACCTAACCAAGGAACTGGTAGGCAGGGACAAAATCAAAATTTTATTATCGGAGGAGTCAAAAGAAAAATAATTTGTTTTCACCATATACACAAAACACACATGTATGTATATATGATATATAAATTACATACATAAAAAAAATTTAAATACCATAGAAGCAATTTCTAATAGGATGAATACGCTTTTTTTTATATATATATAAAATAGAAAGAGATTTCAAAATGGAAGAAGCATGATATATATATATTTTTTTATACAGGGGGGCCATTTTATATATAAAATGATATATATATATATATATATATTTAAAGTTCTATGGCGAATAATAATATTCACAGAAACAGGGGCCATGACCCCCTATAATCTTCTCCTAGTTCCGTCCTGGTTGGTAGGAGCACTGGCCATCCCGTAAAAAAAATAAAAAAATAAGAAACTAAAACTTAGACCTCTACAAAATTTTGAATATTTGTAATATACTTAGTATAAAGTCTAGACAAATTTAATTAGGACTTTTTTCTATATTTTAGTACTACGAATAATATAAGTTTTAGACTGAAAAAAAAAAATACCAGAACAAAATGTATCAAATAGTAACAAGAAAATTAAAAAAACTATATAGTGTTGAAATTGTTCCCTAGTGAAATAATATTTCAAAAAAAATTGTAAAAAATTATATTAAAAGATTTATAATTTGACCCCTCCAATCAACTTTTTGGTTCCACCCCTGATAACATCAACAACCCACAGGAGGTAACATAAAGCTAGCTTAAGGGGAAACAAGAATCTTGCGAAAAAGCTAAAGAATGAAGTGTAGTAGGAGACACTAATGAATGTCATGTGGTTACTTTTTGACCCAATAGAACTCCATTTGTTTAGTTAAACCATGTCCATGAGGTCAATGAGGGGAACCCATAAAAGATTTTAGCTTAAAAGCTTGAGAATCCTATGTGAACTGTGTTAAATATGCTCACTAAGATCTTCTTGATTGGAAGTGCATTATAAATTTAATTCAAAAACTGTCCCCTCCACAAAATAGAAAGAGGGAGAGGAAGACTAAAAAGAAAAAGAACCACTACTGGGCCATCTCTTCTTTTATGTTGTGATATGATTACACAACTCAAAGTTCTAAAAAAAATAGCTTTTTTATTTGACCTTTTTATATTTATATTTATTTTTTATGCCTATACTCTTTGTTCTTTTGGTCCAATCCTTATCATTATTGAGTCCATCATTCCATGCATGTCATTTTGTTTTCAATTATTAGTTACTCACAAATGAAATGAAATTTTATTTTGCTAAAACAAAGTTAAAGTACAAAATTTAAATAATTACAAGCACAATGGAAGTAATGAAAAGGCTTGATTTTCAATTTGAATTGCTAGCACTGAAATATATATATATAGGATACAATATATTTATGGTACTTAAAATATATATTTTGTGTCATTTTGATCATTTAAATTATATTAGTTAACTTTCAAACAACCAGCTAAATCATTTTTAGAATATTGATAAAATACGCCAACAATTTTTAAAGTATGCATTCTATGTTAATTTGATATCTAAAGTTTTAATTTTGTCAATTTTATTCCTAATCAGTGCAAGTAAGGGACAGTACTCCTGAGCCAGAAATGTAAGGCAGGCCTTGACAAAACGGTCTTGATCCAGGCAAGCTAGGCATTGGGCTAACAAATATTGATTTGGGCTCTTTTCAGTTTTTTTTTTTTAATTTTTCTTTTTTCTTTAATGTATAAAAGACTATAAAACTAATTGAATTTTATAATCAGGCACATAAGATATTGTGCAATAATAAAATTAACAACAATGCTACAGATCTCAAAAAAAAAAAACAACCCCTACAACTCCCACTAACTTGTGATTGGTACAGAAAGAAAGGGAAAAAAAACATGATTGATCTACATCATTTTGAGGGTCATGGAGGTCCCCAACTTTGGGAATCCCAAACATTTTTGTAAAATTAATTTTGTATTAATCAAATGGCCAACTAGCTTTCTAACCTTTTTTTCAATGCAACTATATGTTTCTTTAAACACTATCATATTGTACTGCAAGTCCTATACTTAGCACAAGTGTATGAATAAATAGTACATAATTCTGATAGTTCACGTTTCAGTACTTGTTAGTGAGATTCTCTTTTCAATGATTAATCAGCAGTGCTAATAAAAATTTAAAATCAAAAAATTCTTTTAAGTTTTAAATTTATGGTCAAGATTCACTCTACAACCAACAACAACTTTAAATATACACCATTGATCTATCATTCTGGATAAATTTTTTAAAAAAAAAAATTCTGATACCACAGACTTTCTAATAATTAATAGATCAAAGTAATATGGGAGTGCTACATCTCAAGACAGTTAAACAGACTGAAACTCTAAAAAGAAAGCAAAATGTCTTAATTTGATTGCAGTTACAATAAGATCAATGTGGCTTAGCAGTATCTATATATAGCAATGGATCAAAGTTACATGGCTTGGGGAATCCTTTGAAGAACATGGAACATTTCATACACCCCACTTCCCTATTGACTTGAGGATCATATGATAGTACACTTGATGTCATTCTCACTATACTAACACAATTTCTTAGAGGTGGCTTAAATATTATTTCAGGTTGTCCGTCATCTAAGACTTGAAAAAATTTATTGTCGAAGGTCCTATTTTTCAACAATCCAATAAGATAAAGTCTCATATTCATTTCATTTTTTGTTTTATTTTTTTTATCAGCAGGATGGAATCAATCTCCAAACCCAACCTACCATAAAAAAACCATCACAATTGAGTTGGCAAGGAGCCAACACAAAGAACAAAAAGCAAAACAGCAGAAACACACTATCAGCAATACAAAGAAACCAAAACAGAGGTAAGAGAAGTCAGGTTCTCCGAAACACAATGGCCTCGTTTGGGAAGTGGCTATTTTAGTAGGCTATTTTAGTTTTTAGCTATTTTAGTAGGCTAAAATTTTTGTGTTTGGAAAGATGATTGGATTTTTTTGTGGTTAGATGTGATATTTGTGAGAAAAAAAGTGAAATGATTATGGGTTTGATGTGATATTTTGTCTTATTATCTATTTTAGCCTATTTTGTCTTTTTGTGAATTTTAGCCTAAATTGAGCTATTTTTTTTCTTCCCAAACACCCCCAATGTATTCCTTTACGCTGTGTTTGGTTGGAGAATTTCAAAAGGGATTTGAAACATTTTCTCTTTTCCTTTCCAAATTTCTCCCCAAATCTCCCAACCAAATATAACGTCAGCAATTTTTCAACTTCAAGGATCTAACACACTCTCAATTCTGTGAGATCTCAAAAATCTTAAGCCGCTACTATAATCCTCATAGGGGCATGATTGAATTTTCTTAGAGTGGCATAATACAAGTTGGGATCCTCTGTTATCAAAATGTGTCTATCCCCATATCCCGTGCATTTACATTACTCGATTTTCTATTTAATAAATTTTTATTTTTAAAAAGAAAAAAGATCATGTGGCTCAAGTGCATGGGATAGGAGGGCATACACTTTTATTTATTCTCTAGCAGAAGATCCCATACTCATCTTGGTCTAAGCTAACTTATTGAATGGGACAAATTGGAAAATTGTATATGAAGGTTGAATTGAATCACTATTAAGTAGGTATTGAATCCTTTGTTTGTAAAAGCTATGCATCTGATTCTAATCTTGTAATGGCTTCAACTTTTGGAGATATGATGATCCTTAGATGGAACATAATTTCAGTCTCAATCTCCCTCCAAAAAGAAAAAGATTTATTAGATATTCTTTTGAATCTTATATACCTATTATTAATTCATTGCATAGGTTTAATAACCAAAAGTCTCATAGTGGTCCTTTGAATAACAAATCTTTAATTGCTTTTCAGATAAAGAGCAACATTAATTGATTTTCAGTTTTATGATTGCAAAAAGAACTGTCAAAATTTCCTAGAACCACTCCCACATTTCCATGAGAGAGAGAGAGTGAGAGAATCTTTGTGAAAGTTATGCCAGTACAAGTCATCTTATCTGCAATAATATAATCGGAGGAGCTTTCATAAGTCTTGTTTGGGAACACTTTTTTGTGCCAAATAATAACAATAATATACTAGAAAGAAACCCTCTCAGAACACACAAGCTGATAATAGACAGACAACAGAAGAACTACTACATGGCTATATTTGATAATCAAAGAAAGCTCACAAAATGAAAGATTGAACCCCTACTTGAACAAGAATTTTCATCCATAATTCATATTAAAAGCTCTCTATAGGAGACAAGAGGAAGAAGATAAATATTAAAAATAAAAATAAAAACAATAGGAATAGGGTAGGAGCAAAACAGATCAACTTGGCAAATCAAGTTGAATGGCCTTCCATATAATTCTCTCCTTCGGACTCAAGTACCTGAAAATTAAAATCATACATATTTTGTAAGTAAATGAGAGTAATTGTTTTCTCTCTATGTATAAATCGGTATGGAGAAGCTAGCCTTGACCTTGGCAAAAATTGGACATTTTATGATGCATATGAGGACATACTACCAGAGTCCCTCGGTGCATTGCATTTGAAACATTCCATTCGACTAGCAAAGTTGTGCTCGTTGCATCCTGACCTGTTTAATTCGCAAAAAAATTCACACAAAAGATAATAAATTTACATGAAAGCACATACGTCAAAGCACAGTCATGTTCTCACACCCTAGTGAGATATTTATAAACTAGCTTTGTTTGGCTGAGTTTTTAGAACTTATCTTTCTGGAAAAAAATATATATATAAAAAATTCATGAACTATTTTGACAAAAAAAACACACACACACACAAAAAGTATATTTTTGAATTTTTAAAATTTATTTCTTTCACAAAAAAAGATAGAATCATATAAAAATAATTAATGTTTTTCATTTTTTTCACTAAATAAATTTTATAAAAAAAATTTAGAAAATAATTTGTGAAAACTCAATCAAAGAAAGCAAAATGGTGCAGTTTGCACAATATAAACATAGATGTGTGCCAATTAAACTTTACCTAGTGCAAATCCAATCACCGGATTTCCATCCAGAGCGATTGTTGCCACTGCCACCTCCGCCAAACCCATAACCTCTTGCACGGGACAAATCACCATCGAAGCCACCTGACGATTCCTCCTTAAACATGCCGCATTTGAAGCAGCTCGAGCGACTGGCAAAGTTATGGGCACCACAGTTGCCAACAGCACAATACCAATCACCCGGCCTCACATCAGGGCCAGTAAATCCAAATGGTGAACCACCTCTCCCACCAAAACTTCCATAGTCACCTCTCTCTCCATGTTTCGGCTCCCCACATCGGTGACATGAATCTCTCCTCTGGAAGTTTAGGTGCTGGCATGACCTACAGTTCCAATCTCCTGGTCTGCTCATCTTTCCTGTCTCAAGAATACCACACACAAAGAGAAATCACAAAGAAGCACTTCTATTTGCAAAACCTAGTATTCTGCATTGGTAAGAGATAATAGAACTTATGTATCTCTTGTTAGTCAACTAACACTAGTGAATGAACCAGCAAGTAAACATACCAAACTAGCTAGTGGTGTTAATATACCAAACCTATCACATGTCACAAAAAAGCTACTATAATGGTAAAAATTAATGTACTTGTTTTGGAGAGAGAATGGCCAAACATGAGCTGTAGAACCAAGAGGAATTTAATAAAAACAATGACATGGACTCACCTTGAGAAGACAAAGAGAGGGTATGCACTGAATGCTAGAAGTTGAAGAAGAAGAAGAAGAAGAAGAGATTACAAAGAAGGTTGGGTGGTGATTTTGGTTGAGGGATGGTGTGGTTTATATACTTGCTTAGGCCTCGAGAATCGAGCGGATTGAGGCAGCCAGTGGAGGGCTATGGGGTGTTCCTTTTTATATTCTTGTTCTTCACTCTTTTCTTTTCTTTTTTTTTTTTTCTTTTTTTGTTTTGTTCTTCACTTAGCATCCTTGAACAATGGAATCACATAATTAAACTAAAATATAAAAATTAAAAAGATCAAAGGAAAAAAAAAATAGGTAGGATACTAAAGAGAGAAAATATTGTAAAATTTGATAAAGCTTTTGCTACAGGTTTCAAGGCTTGTGGAGGTGGGAAGTGTACCAGTCATAGGGAGCTTTTAGGGGAGCTTCTAAATACATCCATTGTATTTCTCATTGCACCAACATTCTCTCTATATTGGTACATGAATTTCTCCACTAGATATACAAGGGCTACATTGCTTGAGGTGGATGTAAAAAGAAATTTAGTTGTTACATTTAGAATATTTCCCACGCATATGCACAAATTTCTTATCGGAAATTCCCTTCTTTATATATTTTTTTCTTATCTTTTTTTCTTTTTTTTTTCTTTTTTTCTTGCATTCACAAATTCATTTTAAAATTCAAAACTCAAACACAATAGTTAAATTAATTGAAAATCAAATTCCGTTATCCCTTGTTTGTATTACTTTATCACAATGGTTCAGGAGCCCCTACTTCTCCTAGTAAAGCATTAAAACAAGTACAAAAAGATATTCATGAATCGTAAATATCAATATAGTAGCAACCGGAGCAAATGCTAAGTGTTTGCAATTTTGTAATTAAATTTTTGAATAGTTTGATGATTAAAGAAAAAATCAATTAACATTTTTGAACAGTTTGATGAAAATGTGACAATTATTGTATGAAAAGGGGTGATAGATTTTTTAATCAGCAAAAGAAAAAATTTATTGATGTATCAACTAAGGTACAGTAATGAAAGATACATCAATGGGCGAAGGGGGATAGCATCATAGCTTGATGAAGAGGATCCTAATTAGGTTGACACCCAAATGACAAGCACAATCATATGCTAACCCAATCGCAAAGAGGAACAAAGAGAGAGAAGATAAAAAGCAAGTTGTCAAATTAAAAAAATAGAACAGAAAATGAGTAGAGAGTTACTAAGTGATAATGATATTCTCGAAAAAATAATAAACGTAACAGCATTCACACCAACTAAAGTGTACAATTTATGTAATAATATATATGTATATATATTATTTATATTTATTTGAATTGGGTCCTGCAAGGATTTTATTGCTCATTGAATAAAACCTAAATAGTGATGAGTAGATGTGATAAGCAAAGTTAATTGGTTGGAGTCCAACTTTCGTAAGCTGTAACCGACCATGACACCCCCACATAAAGGAAGACACCACAAATTGTAACCACTAAGTAGGACACACAAGTGCCTCAATAGATCATCCCAAGATCTACGTAGGAAGCCAAATGCACGAACACCCAAAGGAAACCCTTTGACTAGAACAATATTTAGGGCACTTATATTTGCCAACTTGGCACATAGAATAAAACTCCATATATGCAAGCTTGTGGTTTTATGGACCGGATAAGGAGGAATAAAGCTCACTAACTATTTCTTACCAGACAAAATGAATATTCCATTTTTTTTTTTTTTTTTAAATCCTTTGATGAGAGAGAAGACCCCACAAACCACACAAAACCCTTATTCTTATCTCATATTTATTACTAAGGAGAAGTCTTGTCTCCTTTCATTAATATACCCTTGTTGTGACCCCCCACTTTGTAATGGTCAACAAACAGGAGAAAAAAAATGGTAATTGCTTTTCTATTTTGAATATTCTGTTTATGTACTTCAGAATCAATTTTTATATACATGTCTAAAGGGTTAAACGCTTTAATTGTTAAAGAGAGGGATAATTTCACCACTCCTCTAAATTTTTCTTCATGTGTAGCCAGATTTTCTTTTGTAAGTGGGCCTAACACATAAAATTATTTTTAATTATTGAGCAAATAGTGAAATTCTGATATTATGTTAAATTGTTAACCACCAATTTATTTAAAAATTTAAGTTGGTTAGAGATAGGAGTAATTTCGTTATTTATGTTCTCAACGCTTAACAACACCCCACCTCAACCGAACCACGCACGAGTCTTTAAGTATCAGGTAGACAGTAAATTTCAAACACATAATCTATTTTTTGCAATGATACTATATTAAATTGTTAACCATCAATTCATCTAAAATCTTCAACAATTAAAGAAAATGAGAACTTTATTATTTTTATCCTCAACTATAGTGAAATACTTTACCCTAACTTTAATAGTTTGGATCTACCCATCCCAATACGCCATCCTACCCTATCAAAGCTCTTCTAAACTTTTTGTATTGGAATCGGATGACATCAAATATAATCCAGTCGGAAAATTCTACCTATATGTATATATTTTTTCTCATGAGAATGTTTAGAGTTTCATCTAACTAAATTTTAAAAATGAAGTACTAAATTTTGATTTGTCAATTATTTTATTAGGTAAGATCTAATCTCAATACCACATTATTAAGAGTTATTTAGAAATGATAAATTAAGAAATGTAACATTGTTAATTGTTGATTCCTATTACCTGTTGCCAACTATTATCCTTTGCTTCCCACCCATGTTTGAATTAACTTTTTCTTTTTAGTTTTTAGGTAGATTATAAACATACCACTAAGGTTTACTTAAAATATATATTATTTATGATTTGAAAAATTATAAATATTCTTTTATTAGAATTTTTTATTTAACAAAATTAATTGAAAAATGAAATTCCTAATTGATATCCTATATAATAATAAAATTGATTGAATTATTAATTGAAATAAATTTCTAACATCATTAAAGTTGTTAATTGACATGGTGATTTATTAATAAAAGGGTTTGTCTATTATGAAATTAGAAATTTTAAGGAACATGATGTAATTTTTAAAATCATAAAAAAATAATTCGTATTTTAAACAAATTTTAAGAGTGTATTTATAATTTATCATTTTTTTAAAAGTGATTCTTGCATATCTGATTTAATGACCAGACAGTTGTCCACTGAAGCCAAAATCGAAGCCGGAGCTGAGGTTGCATGGCTTCAAAGAACGTTGTTGTTGTTGTTGTTGTTGTTTTTTTTTCTTGTAATAATCATCTTTGCAACCTCCCTCATTTTTTTTTTTTTTTTTTTTTTTAAGAGTTATTTAATTAAATTTTTCATTGATGTGATTGAGATATAAAAAGGGAAGGCAAAAACTATTCTATGAAGATAATAAAATAATGGAAGAGATAATTAGGAAATGTGAGGAGGAATCCAAAATGAAAGAAAGTAACAAAATGGTAAGAGTTTCGATAAAGATAGTCGAAGCTGATGATGGATGAGAAGTCTTCGAGGTTCATTTGACCATCTTTTTTCTTTTCTTTTCTTTTTCTCCAAACACTGCATTTCCCTTTTTTGCTGTCATATTTCTTTTCCCTTTTTCTTAATGGAAAATGATTTGGTACATATATAAAAATTGTATTGAAATCTATTAAAGTTTATGTGATTATATGAAATGTGTAATGAAATTTGAAACTTTTAGATATTGTTTTGTCCTTAATGCAATCTAAATGAGAAATGGTTAATAAGAAATAAAATTTAAGTGCAACAGTGATATCACGTTATTATGCATATATATGTAGAAGATTTTATTTTTTTTTGGTTAATTAATGAATCTCTTTGTAATTATTTATATATATTTTCAGAAGTCTTTAGTTTAAGGTTCCTAATATTAAAATTTTATAAAATAAAAAAGTATGCAATATTTTCATAATAGTTGAGGTCCCTCAATATTTTCACAAAAACAGAGAAATTTCCAGCTGTTCACAAAGAAATTTCTTTATGATGAGCTGTAATTTTTCTAATAATATTATTGAGGAACCTTAACAAATAAGAAAAAACATATTTGACATTTTCTACAATCCAAAGTTGGAGAAAGATGCTTTATTAATTTTCTCATATTTTTATATATATTAGAAGTTGAGCGTACACGTGATGTTTATGCATAAATAGAAGATAGATGAGAAAAAACTGGAGAAATTTATTAGAAAATTCTCTTTTAGATACTTGTATCTCAATTAGTTCATAAGATATTCTTATATTTCAATAAGTCTTATTATGTTAGACATTTAATCTATCAAATCCTAATTCTCATATATTTAAGGTAATTTATGGACAATTTTACCCTTACAAATATTTTTTAAACCCTTAACAACTTGGTGATGTGAATATTTACATTAAATAAATTGGACAGTGTGAATGTTTATGTTGACAATATAAATGTTCACATTGATAGTGTGACTGTTTACATCATAAAATATTTACATTGTCAATATAAACATTAATGCGTATTTCACCCTATTATTATTAGAGATATTTTGATAATTATATCACTTATAAAATTTATCGAAATGCAAAAAAATAATTTAGATTAAATAAAATATAAATTGATGAAGATAGATTTATGAATAAATACATCTTTTTTTTTTAATTGAAAAGTCTTAAAAAAAATTAACAACAATAATAATAATAATATATACGCTTTCTCTCTCTACATAGGTGTAAAGGGCAGAACCAGCCCACCACTCTCCAAGAAATGAAATTGGAATAGAGAGAGAGAGAGAGAGAGAGAATGAAAATAACAAGAAACATAAGATATATCACCCAACATTTTCTTGGAGACTGGTAAAGAGAGAGAGGTCTGTAGCAAACTGAGCAAAAAAGCAAAAAGAAAGAGGACTGATTCGATTCTCTTTGGGAAATGCCTCCATGCATGACCATGACCAATACCCAATACCCCCCTAACGTATACATTCCCTTTTTTTTCACTTTCTCTTTTCCTTTCTATCTCCATATATAACTTGGATATTTTCCTTTCTTGATTTCAAATGAAACAGTCAGATTTATTATTAATTAAGATTATAGAAATAGATACAACTCTCTCACATTAGTTTATGTTTTTTTTTTTTTTGTAATAAAAGATTCAAAAATTATTTATAAACATATTTTTTGTAGTAATGATATTTTTTTAAAAAAATGGTAAAAATTCACAATTTGAGTTTCACAATTCACCCATAGTGGCATGACGAAATAGTTTAATCTTTGTGTGAGTAATTTTCTTACCACACTGCCCGCCTAGTAATCAGCTGGAGAACACCGGCAGAATAAATGGCTCCAGTAACCTGTAACAGAAAGAAAGGGCTCCGGCGGTGGCTCCTCCACTCGGGGGCACTCCGACGATCAAGTCAGTATATCTCTCAAAGATAATCAAGTGCTAAACTCACAAGCTTGAGTATAAAACTACGTACCTTAGACCCATGGGGGTGCCTCTCTTTTATAGTTTACTCAATCCAAGTCCCA